TCTCTCTCTCTCTCTCTCTCTCTCTCTCTCTCTCTCTCTCTCTCTCTCTCTCTCTCTCTCTCTCTCTCTCTCTCTCTCTCTCTCTCTCTCTCTCTCTCTCTCTCTCTCTCTCTCTCTCTCTCTCTCTCTCTCTCTCTCTCTCTCTCTGGACTTTGTCTGGTCTCTCTCTGGCATCTCTCTCTGGTCTTTCACTGGTCTCTCTCTCTAGTCTCTCTCTGGTCTCTTTTGTCTCTCTCTGGTCCCTCTCTATGGTATCTCTATGGGCTTTATCTCTGGTATCGCTCTCTGGTCTTTCTCTGGTCTCTCCCTGGTCTCTCTCTCTCTGGTCTCTCTCCGGTCTCTCTCTGGTCTCTCTCTGGTCTCTCTTTGCTCTCCCTCTGGTACCTTTCTTGTCTTTCTGGTCTCTAACTGCTCTCTCTCTTTTCTCTCTCTGGTGATGATGAGTTCAGGGAGTGCATACCAGCAGCCACCAACCCTTACTGACAGCTGTTTCTTTGAGCAAGACACTTCACCCACACAGGCCACGTTTACAGCTGCTTAAAGAAGACATAACATGCTTCTGTCCGCTCGTGGTCGTCCATAATTGTGTTTCCCAACTTGTTTTGTCATAACCATCTGGCCCTTTTGTTTTTTTTCTGTACGATATTTTGACCAAATTATTCATTTATTTATCTTTTTAATGTTCTTTTTTATGAACAAAATTATACACAGTTTCATTGAATCAAAACTGGACCAAAAGTATGGAAGGATCACTATTGCAGACTACTAGAGCAATAGTTAGCTTTCTGGGTATGTTTACAATAAAATGTTCATGGTAGCCCATATTATTAAATATCATTTGCCTTTAATAGTACCTTTTTAAATCTCAAAATAGAGCAAAAAAGTTCTGTATACTTTTCAAAAAATATTTTCCTTTGAGGATTATCCACAAATCAGAAAAAAACAAAGTACATCTGTCTGCTACATGAACCAACTCTGGCCTCAGGGAGCACAGGGACTGGTCTTCTGCTGGGACTCTGAAAACCACTGGGACTTTCCTCCTGCTGTCTTCCTGAAAATGTGAGACGGGGTACTGCTCTGACAATGTTCAAATCCAGGTTAAAAACTGCTCTTTTGCAGCTTAGCATACCACTGAATTACTGTAATCACATTGTTTTATTTAATGTATTTGTGTATGACTAGAATGTTTGTATTGTCTTGTTTTGTGAATGTTGTTGAGTTGCCTAGTGCATGAACTGTTCTATACAAATAAATGTACTTGCCAAAGCGTGTCAAAGTGGCCTTGGTCAGAGAAGTCAGGAAAGAGCAATATATAAACTTACCCAGTTACTCGCAAATACTGAGATTCTCTGTTCATGACAATAGAGAACGACTTAAACATGGTCAAAGCTGTGACTATGTGTGTTATGTCACATTTAAGAAAACCTCAGAGGCCAGTGTTGACAAGCAGCGCTGTTCGACTGTGATCGTCCAAAACTCGTCCATACCAAAAATGAGGTAATCGAGCCTCCATCCCTGGGATCAGCGTATCACGGGTGGCTGCAAACCTGGAATGTGGCACAAGCACACGTCTGCAGCTAAAGCCACGTACAGAAACGCACGGAAAACACAGACGCTTTCCCGACTTGTCGACAGCTCCTGCTCGATTCAATAAGTCGGGGGCGGAGAACCGTTCCTTAAGGGCTTCACTCCTACTCCTTTAAATTGCTGTCGATGACGATGAGTGCTTTTTTTCCATGTTAATCTCGCTTGTCTCTCTCAACAGGTCGGCTAACATAATTGAAAATACGGACGTGAAAAAACACAAGTATCACTGACACGAGGAATGCGCCTTTGTCCCGAAATGCTTGCGCTTTCACTGTCCTGTTTGAACTTGCTCCAAGAATGTGTGGATCTGTCTGCAGGTCACCCCGCTGTACCTCAATGCCCCCCTTGTTCCAGTATCTTTCACGAGAAATTATTCATCCAAGTTTTTGAGCACCATGACAAAGTTCCGAACTTTTTGCGTGGCCAAGAAAACACTTCTCCGTCAGTGCACTCGCAAAGAAAACATTTGCTTAAGATTTTGGAGTTTGATTGTGGCGTTGGGTAATTTGTCTTTTTAGCAGGTCAGCTCATAAGCAAGCTGCCAATGCGAGTTTTACAGGAGCTGCTCTGCGTTTCTGCTGTAAGAAGGCAGGGTTCTCACACGTCGCTGCAGGGAAAAATCATAATTAAGGTGACTTTGAGAACCTGAGAAGAAAACATATTCTGTCCAATCCAAGTTCAGCCTAATTTAGAACCGTGGCTCAAGGTCCCAGCGCTTTGCCAAGAATGTGAAAGTTTGAGAAATTGAAATCGCAGTTTTGGTAGATTGTGGTTGTCGAGAATTGGAATCCAAAGGGGGCAATAATGTGGTAAAATACAGGAGGAAAGGTGATGTAGTGTTGTGTGTTCTCACCTGGTGTGAAAAATATTGTGTATTTGTTGTGTACCAGTAATTTGGTTCAGTATAATTAGTTAGAGGGGCGACAGTGGCTCAGTGGGTAGAGCATTGGCCTTTGGGCCTGAAGATTGTGGGTTCAATCCCACCGCAAGACCTTCTCCACGACCCCCACCGATGAATGCAGTTGTTGTGTCCTTGGGCAAGACACTTAACCCCACTTTGCCTGAAGCCCCCACTGTAAGACTAAGGCTCCTGTGGACTCACCACCTACAGGTGGATCAGTGAGGGGCTGGCGCCATGTGTACAGGGTGCAGCCCTGACTGCCATCCCCTGCCTCAGAAATGGATTAAGGGGAAGAAAATGGCAAGGCAAGACAAACATTTGCGAAAAAAATAGAAATCGATCAATCAGGGGGAAAAATCATGATATTCATCTCCCAGATAGCCCAGTCCTTGCTCAAGTTTTCTGTTTGTTGTCCACATTCATCAAATCTGCCTTATTGGATGTACAGTATGTATGTATCTACAGTGTCACTTCTGGATTTCTCTGATTTGTTTCTGTACTGACCCATCAGTACAAAACAGTCCAGGAAATGCGCAGAACTGTCATCAAGCTTTGAACATATAGAGTATTGCACAACTCCAAACATACCAAGACTCAGCTGTCTGCCCAGCTAACAACCCGAACAAGGACAACACTGATCAGAGATGGAGTCAAGAGGCCAGTGGAAACTCTGGAGGAGTAACAAACATAGATTTGCTGCTGGATTTGCATCTAAGAGGGTTTCACAAAATATTAACTCATGGGGCCTGAATGTCTCCCTCATTGTTGTTATCTTTCACAAAATAAAAGCAAAATATGGGAGAGGGTCTGAATACTGAATATAGCTTTGGCCCCCACGGACCAGATTCAATTTTGTTCTGCACTAATTTTGCTGTTCATGAATACTCTCTTAATAACGATGCGAACAATAATAATGCCTCAATTAACAGATGTCCCACTGTGGCACTAGGTGTTCCCAGAGGTCTCCCATCACAGTACTAACCAGACCTTGCAAATCCGATAATATTCATCTTGCATTCATTTGGAAAACGTTGTGACCCAAAATGTTTAGTAAACCCTTGTATCACGATCACATATTCAAATAAAAGCATTTCCCCACTTTCCTTATCACTAGATTCCCTTTTTGTCCAAGAAGAAAAGTGAAAGTGTTCGATAAACTTTCCCACAGGCTCCTCTTAATATACGAGCCCAACTTCAATTATGACTTAAGTCTCTGTTGGACCAGAGCCAACATGTTAACTCCATCTAAATCAACGGATTAACACACAGCAGCAACGCTAAGCTTAAAGAGGTGACCCTGGCCAATAAATGACCAAAAGCAGTGAATAGAGTATGCGCTTCAGCCTCCATGCTCTTGCTCCTTTTCTTGTGCTTATGAGAGGCTGTTGTGCAGAGATCACGACCGCAGACCCTCGAGTGCTCTCTGCTAAACAAAACCTGACGTCCTTTAGGATTCAATTTAGTTGGCAAATGTTTGTCACAAAACAGCCTGTGGGAATGGACGTAAGCAAACTATCCTGCATTTGTATTTGGGATTACTGTCCCCTTTAGCTCAATTTCCCATGCACGCCGATCAGAAATGTAACGTCAGGTTGGTAAACAAAGAGGAACGCAACTTTATACTCTATGACAGTTTCTATTTAAACGATGGTAAAGGAAGGAAAGGTGTAGCAGCTATGTTTACAATATATACGCGAGGAAACTCAAAGTGTGGTACAAAACAAGCAAAAAGCATTAACACAAATACAACCATTCATAATCACAGTACATTCTTTAAAAAATGCAACAGATCAAATTCTCCGGTTGTATGAGCCAACAAACACGTTTTTATCTAATATTTTTTGTAAGCGGACTGTGGCACCAAAAATTTCAGAGATCGCTGGCGCAAGTCTGATATGTTTTATTCCTTGTTTTCTCATTAATGATTTGAGAATCAAAACAAGACCTTTTTTGTACTGCCTGACATGTCACGGACTTTCTGATTGGTAAAACGGTGGAGGGCAGGACATCAAAATGAAAACAATAATATTTAGGGGCTGATGATGCTTAATGTTGAAATTCACATATCTTGGCTGAACTACTGTTATCAGTTAAAGAAGTATTGGAAAAGAGCATGGTTTAGTAATGCCTTTTGACAGATTAGGGCCATTGAATGATGACCTGACTTGAAAATCTAACATATAGCTCCTTTAAGTACAGGTCTCTACCAAATGGTTGAGATGCAGCTTGATGGTAGAGTTGATAGAGATGCCCCAATTAGGTAGACTTTAGTTCAGTTTCGATATAGTGACTCAAAATGTGATCCACCAAATAGTTGCAGAAACCATTGAAGGGTTAAAAGTGATAATGGGGGCTACTAAAATCCGGTACAAGTCTACATAACCCTATAGTAACGCCTGCACTGCTAGTTTGTAAACACCGTATACCCTGCACTATTTTCAGAATGGATATAATTGCACATATGTTCTTACGATACCCAATTAACAATATTATATGACATTTACGACCGGCCATGTACTTCTCCACAGTGTGCAGAGAGCGGGCAGTGGTGGGCAGTGGCGGGCAGAGGCAGGAAAGTGCGGCCTCTTCCTGTGTCGGTCGCCTGCATCACTGTTTCCCACATGTTTTAAGCTTTCCCATGCTGCCAGCCTCCAGCTCCTGTAGCTACCAGTCACACAAGACACACATGCCTTTGGACAGTTTTATGGCCCGTGTTTAACATTGGCAACCTAATGTGTCATTGGACTGCAGAAACCACACAGTAACAACAAAAACACTTGCTTGTTGCTGCTGCTACGTATTGGAGTGTTTTGAGTCTTAAGACCCACTTTTACTTTCTGGCTTTTAATACCGTGTCAGTTGTGTGGTCCTCTATTTTATTTTTTATTTTATGGTTTTATGTTATTCTTTTTTAATGTTTATTTATGTCTATAGATAAGTAGTTGTATATTTTTATTTTTATTATTTAGATTAATTTTTATTTTTTTTATTTTAACTGTCTTAATTTCATTTATTTTTTTATTGTTTTTATTCTATTTTTATAATTTTTATATAATTTTAATTGTTTTTATTTTGTATTTATAATTTTTGTTTTACTTTAACTGTTTTTATTTCATTTCATTTATTTATTTTATGTAAAGCTGGTAGACCTGTATATTTCAATGTGTCACTTTTATTCATGAACACTTCGGAAACATGTTTTTAGAAATGTGCTATATAAATAAATTGGATTGGATTGCGTATAGGAATATATATATATTCACCCCCATACGCAATTTACAATATGGACTCGTCTACCTCATTTTCAGTCCGTGAGCTCCGATCTTGACTGGTTTTATTATCTGTAATAACATGGTGCTGTGGGTCTTCATAAATCCAGTAATCAGCAGCTCCTAATAGTAACAGTTACCACTCTGAGTGCGAGAGAAACTTTGTGGTTAAATGGTATTAAATGTGGTAGGCTTGGCTGAGGACTGCTGTGGGACTTCCTGGACTTTTGTTGTTATAGTGAGGTCTCCGAGCAACCCGCCTGAATACGGAAGTCTCTGCACTGACGAGACAGAAAAAAAATACATCATTCCCAATAAAGTCGCTTAAGAAGAGCTACCGTCGCTGCGGAGGTGAACGGTTGAGCTCGAGGAGTGTTTCCATTGGTTACCATGGTTTAAAAATGGGAAAATAAATATTGTCGTCACATCAGTTATATACAGAAGATGCAATTGAAAAAATATAGTATAAGTATATAATAGGGAATTCTTTTTTTCCATGACTTCGGGGAGGGCTGATTATGTATATACTTGAATTTAACCAGGGCTGAGGGAAGGTGCCTATTGTATTTGTTTTAGTGGTACAGGCAAACGGGGAAACCAAGTGAAAACCTTCTCAGATATGGAGAGAACATGCAAAATTCACTCAGAAGCTAAAGGAGTCTCCATGATGCAAAGGAGATTGCACAGAACACAAATGAGACTGCCAGTAGCTCTCCCAGAAGGAAGGACTTAAATCTCATCTCTCAAGGGTGGTCGCAGATGCACTGTAAAAGTCAAAACTTTTGAACTTTGTGATCTTTCTGTCTTTCAGATATTTTTGTCATGTGTTGATTTTTTTGGATCACAACCAATCCAGTCAGTCAAAAATCAGTCAAAATGCAATAATACATTTTGCCTTGTCACTTAACACATTGTAGATCATTGCTAATGGCACAAACACGTTTTAATAATGTTGTTAAATCTCAGCGAGAGGACGAGCAAATGACTGATAACGCTCGAACAGGTGTTGGTGTCCTCCACGAAAGTCTCAACGCGTACTATTGTCCGATCCCGGCTTCACCCACACGTCCCACCGGCTCCACGCTCCCGCCCGGGTCGCAGGCGCCGACTCTAGCCTCGGTGCCGCGTGTCCTAATCGCATAAGCACACGGGCTAATCCGCGGGACAGCTGGGGAATCTTTACTGCGGCGCACAAGCACGAGGCCGAGCGCAAGTGAACGGTCGGTCGGAGGTCAGAGCAGCTGCTGATAGACACTTCCCCATCCCAACGGCTTAAATACAGCTTTCGGGGATATCATCAACATTTATGACACACGGGATAAATCATAGAGTTGTCATACGGCGAAAGTGGGAGCTTGGAGGAAACAACAGAATGAATTGCAGTCATGGAAAAGTCATGGCTTAAAGAATAAACTGTGTGTGTGCATGTGTGCGTGTGTGTGTGTGTTAAAAAAAAAAACGATTCTAAGGACTGTGACCTAGGAAACTCAACATTCAACAACATTTATGAACATTGGTCATCTGCCCCTTGTTTATTTAATTATTTTTCTTGCGTTTGAACTGTTTCTCTGATCTGTGTTGGCGAATTTGACAGTTGTGTAATGTACGCTGATATAACTACTGTTGCGATTTAGGGCTACACAAGAAAAAACATTTTATTGAATTGAATTGAATTAATGACTTTCTTAACACTACCCTATGTACCAATGTCTCCTTTTGATCCAGGTGTATTCAACTCGGTCCTCAAAGGGTCGTATGGCGGCAGGTTTTCATTTCAACCAAGACTTATCACATTTCTTTAAGTGTGTCCAGTCTTTACCTGCAGACTTGAGGAAATGGGTGGAGTTTGTTAGTATATTTTGTTAGTGTAACAAAATATATTGGCATTCTCTCATAACACAATGTAGATACTTACTTACTACTTTTTGTAGTAAATAACTTAAAATTGTCAAGCAGTATAATGTCCTCTTTGTTTTTATGCAGCTAGAGTGTATACTTGTTTGTCAAACCTCCATTTTGGCTGAGGCCGTGAAGTGTATACAGTTGGGTCCATGGGCAAGGCACTTATCCCGGAAGTATGAATCATTGTGTGTGAGTGAATTATGGCGTTGGTCAGAGAGGCCAAATTGGAAAGCCTGCTTCGGCAACGTGCCCCTGAGCATCTGTGGCTATAGTGATAACTTACCACCACTATTTCTGGAGTGAATGAATAGTGTAATGGAAAATGTCTTTGAGTGTTAGAATAGTGATAGTACTGTAGTCTGATGCATCATTCCTTAAAATATCTGAACGATAACTTCTATCACATAAAGGGTCACACATAATGCTAAGACCTGTGATAGATTATTCTGGGTTCAGTTTTTCTGCATGTATAGATTCCAATGAGTGCTTTCAGTTTTCGCATGTTGGGCCAGAGATGCAAAGGCTCAGACAATTCACTTGATTTTTAATTTGGTTTGACAACATTTGTATGATGAAAAACCATACAGGTGTCATTTAAAGGCTGTGTGTGCTTTCTACAGTCTTTAAAAACCTGGAAAGCAGAACAGTTCTATGTCCTATACCAGTCCCCACGACAATAAAGTTTCAGACGCGTTTGTCCTCCATGATAGCAGATTTCTTCTCGTTTTCTGTCTAAAATTCCTGCTTCCACTGGCTCTACTCTACATTTCTCGGCTCTTTTCTACCCCGATCCGGAAGCCTTCCCATGGGGCCCGTTTTCAACCCGGTACCAGGTGCTTTTTTAGTACCTGCTCAGTCCTAGTTCTAAGCAGGCCAACCAGGAACTAGAGTGTTCCTACTGACTGTGATTGGACAGAGTGCTTTTGGAAGCCATGGTTAGCAAAGAACTTCCTCGGATACTTGTTTGTTGTGGGTTCTGAGGATACTGTGCCAGATCATCAGCATGACTCCAGCCAACATTTGGCCCCGCCATTAAAATTCCCGCTAAAATTGAATGTAGGCGGGGCTAAATGTCGGCTGAAGCCAGGCTACCAGATCCTATTAAAGGTGCAAAACCAGGTTGAGTATAGAGCTCATTAGAGATGATCTAAGTAAGGCTGGTGGAAACTGGGCTTTGATCAGTCTTTGAGCAAGAAACTGTATCTACATCCATTTTCTTCCCCTTAATCCATTTCTGGGTCGGGGGGTGGTAGTCAGTACACATAGCACCAGCCCCTCACTGATCCTGATCCTCCTGCAGGTGGTGAGTCCACAGGAGCTGAGATCTTTCAGTTGGGGCTTCAGGCTAAGTGGGGTTAAGTGTCTTACCCAAGGACACAACGACAGCAGACATCAGTGGGAGTCGTGAAGTAGGTCTTACAGTGGGCTCGAACCCACGATCTCCAGGCCCACAGGCCAATGCTCTACCAACTGAGCCACTGTCATCCCCAACACTGTATCTTTCCTGTTTAATATTCCCTACAGAAGAACGGTTTGTGAAAGTCAATTGGCTGCAGAGAGAAATCTAGCCTTAAATCATAAAGACTCCCATATTCCGATGTTCTAACTGGTCTCTACACAACCAACTCCAACTTGTGTATTCTAATCGGATGTAGCCAGTTCATCTTAAACACATCAGAACACCCTCTTGTCTGGGATATCGAGCATGATGAACTGTTTCCCCCCGCCAAGCATCTCTGTTAGAGCAGTTATCGTACGGCTTCTCCTGAGATTCCAATGAATAATGGGTAACGGGAGGAATTTCCTTCTAGAATAAAACGCTTCTAACCCCGCACCTCTCCTGGCAATCTCCCCGGTCGTCCCAGAGTGAACGAAAGATTGAGCTGCGCCAGAAAAACTACACACATCTCTCCCATCCCCCCTTCTTCCAAATCCGATGGGGTCTTTGGGGCTTTCTCCCCTTGAGCCAATGAAGAAACGCACGCAATGTCATTATTTATAGAAGCATTCATCCGTCAATTATTCCAGCTTTGCAAGATTCGAGATCCGGCGTTTTATATACACTAAAATGGATATTGAGAAATGTGTCTTGTAAGTTTGACATTTTTATGATTGCAAGCAAGTGTTGATAGCCTCCCTGTTCAGTTATCATCATTATCCACTACGGCGTGTACTGAGGCCCCGCGGAGCCCCTCCTAAATAAAGAGGGACCTCCAGACCGGTGTGTAGCAAGGCCAGTTCCAAAGAAAAACAGTATGTGGTATTGCAGATCACTTAAGAACACATTACACCTGAAGTTCGTCCCACTGTCGAATTGTTGGCGGGGCCGCTCTGGTAAGCTTATTAAAACAATATTGTCTTAACCCCTGGAGCAGAGCCATTTCATACGAGATGTGCAACACTCCCAAAGATTGCTGCGGAGGAATGCGGAAGACAAGCTGTATTAAAACACAAGTCCTTCATACAGCTGATCTTGTAACGGTGGACTGATATTGTGTTATTATTGGATACTTCGATCTGTGTTGGCGACTGCTGCTAGTAACACATGGTTTAGTTGTAATTATGTATATCTCATAACTGCACAGTGGTTAACGCTTGTGCTTCACAGTAAGAAGGTCCTGGGTTTCATTCCACTTCCAGGCATTTCAGTGTGGAGTTTGCATGTTCTCCCTATGTCTGTGTAGGTTTTCACATACATCTTTAGATCAGTTTTTTCAGACGCAAAAGTGAAAAAGCTAGGACCACCATCACTGAAAAACATTACAAAATATAAGGTAATAAATGCTTAAATCAGTGTTTTTTGTCTTCATTTGAGAACATTCTGACTGTCTTTGTCAATGGAACAAAGCCATTTAGTCTTATTGCAAGAACTGTTTTTTCTTGAATCTTTTTAAAACAAGATCATTTTGTTTGTCCCATTGGCAAATCTTGTTTTAAGTCACTCAAAATGTGTTCGAAATAAAAAACATTTTACCAAATTTGACAAATGTTTTACTTATTTTTCAACACTTTTTGCAGTGATTTTGTCAGCTCTTAGCTCAAAGAGTCAAGTAGTGACGCACAGGGTTCTTTCTTATGCAGGTAAGTATGTAAAAGAGAAGGTGTTTTCTAATATGAAAAAGACAAAAAGCAGCTTGTCATCTAATTTATCCACAACATTTTACTTTTGCAAGATTTTTTCTGTTGGAATGGGGTCTGAGGACCATAAATATATATGTATTTGTGGACATTGGTCATCCGCCCCTTATGGACCAATGGCTCTATGTGTTTTTTTAATGTGTTTTAACTGTTTGATTCTCTGATCTGTCTCCGAGATGACTGCTGTTGTGATTTAGGAATGTACAAAAATAAATGTAGATGAATGAACACAAACAAATATTGAAATGAATGAATAAAACACACATATATTTGCAGTGAATATGAGTTGCCACCATGTTGCACAGACTTTTGACAGACACTCATGCTGTGGGTGTATTTTTCCTATAGTGACTTTTTTTCTTTCGCTCCTGTTTGCAGAGATGCTGAGCTCACACTTTTCCAGGACAGGTACTTAACGACCATCACAAACAGTGCTAAACACGCTCGGGCCACTGGGCAGGGCGCAGGAAGGAGGAAGGTACCTGCCCTTTACCGCCATATCACACTTTCCTAAGTCAAAATCAGGTTGAAGTGACGAGCAGCATGAGCTCAGGTGTTTGTGCACGAGAGCTCGCTACAGCAGCTGCACAGAGCTCTCCTTATGGACCGTAATGTTGCTGATATGTTTTAATGAATAGTCAGTACATTGGAAATATATATATACTGTACATCATTTCATAATGTAGGGTCAGAAAAATACAAATAAAAATGGGTTCAATTGGTACTCAAGGATTTAGGCAGTTTTTTTAAGATAAGCAATCTAGATTTGTAAAAAAATCCCAAAAAAATATCCAATATGCCTACAACAGCGCATTTATTTATTTATTCATGAAGTCAGATAGAAACTTTTTCCACCAATGTTGCCTAGTTGGAAGAGTGCCTTAATATTTCTTTTTAATAGATTTATAATTGAAGAGGGCTTAATCTAAAATTAAAATGTCAGGTGCATTTCAGGTCTCACACTAATTGCAAGTTTGAAAACATGATTTTAAGGCAAGCTTTTGGAATTCTATTTTCTAGTAGACCCCATCGCAATAGTGTCTGCAATATTGCGCTGTCAGTCATTGCCCAAAGCCTGTGACCATCAGGTGAGGGTGGAACAT